TATGCAAGAAGGATCTAATAAGTAGTTACAGCCTAAGGGTTGTCAAAAATAGCATATTACCTCCTCACCAGTGACTCCTTTCACTGAGGTATGATGGCTGGAAGGAAGGCCAGGATTGAAAAGAAGGACCGAGAGACTTGCACTTGTGACTAGCAACAGGTTATTTTCTTGTTCCTCCATAGTCATGATTACCCAGGACTCCTCGATGGAGATCATCTCCATTTTATAGATGGGAAAACTGAAGGACAGAGTTTTAAGTGACTTGCCCAGGTTAGCCTGCTATGGGGGCCAGGAGAGGAGTTGAACCAGGCAATCCGGCTTGAGGGTTCAGGCTGAGCCACTAAGTTATATTTTCTCTTAAGGGACGACACACTATATGAGTATAAATGAAACTAAGTTTTTTTTTGTTTTTTTTTTTAGTTCTGAGACTTGAACCTAGGACCTTCACACATTAAGCTGCATCTCAAGCCCTTTTTTATTTTGAGACAGAATCTTGCCCAGTGGCTGTTGTGGTTTGGGTCTGGAACATCTCAAAGGCCTCATGTGCTCAGAGGCTGCTCTTGTGGAAGGTGATGGACTATGGGGCAGTAGAGCTGACCTGCTATTAGGAGCTGAGGTCTAGTTGGAAAAGTGGGTCCCTGGAGCCCTGACCCAGAAAATTTATCTCCTTTCCTGGCTCCTCTCATTTTGCTTCCCAGCCACCAGGACATGAGCAGTTTCCCTCTGCCCAGACCCTTCTACCAGCCGACTATGCATGAAACCTCTAAAAATCGTGAGCCCAAGTAAAGCTGTCCTTTAAGTTGTGGGTGTTTGGTATTGTGTTGGTGACAAAAAAGTAACTAAAATAGTTGCTAAATTGCCCAGACTGGGCTTGAATTTATAATCCTCCTGCCTCAGCTTTCTAGAGTACAGGGATTATAGGTGTGTGTCACTGTATCTAGCTCTAAATAATTTTTCTAATTTTATTTATTTATTTATTTATTTTTTTGGTACCGGGAATGAAGCCAGGCAGGCACTTGTACCACTGAGCTATATCCCTGGCCCTATTTTTCTAATCCAGTGGAAGTTAGAATTTAGTGGGAAGTTCTTAATGTGTATTGCCTTATCACAAGGCCTTTTTTTTTTGTTTTGTTTTGTTTTGTTATTTTTCCGGTACCGGGAATCGAACTCACGACCTTGTGCTTGCCAGGCAGGTGCTGTGCCGCTGAGCTAAATCCCTAGCCCCCTATTTTTCTAATCTAAACTAATCTTTTACACTGTCCTTTCACCCTTTTCTGAAGTCTTTTGACTTTCATTATAAATTTAACCAGGCTCAGAGTTTTAAAAAATAAATTTACATTTAAGAAAACAACTGTGTTGTACATCTTTTTTTTTCAGCAGGAAGTACCATTTCTAAGCCAGATGTGATTGCCTTACTAGAGCAAGAGAAAGAGCCCTGGATGGGTGTGAGGAAGGAAACAAGTAGGCGGTACCCAGGTGAGTGGGACTAAGGAAATCAGGGGAAGCTGCCATTGCCTGAGACAGCTCCTGTGGTTTGGCAAACTTCCTTCAGAGAGACTCAAGGCCTGTTAAAAAAGCCTGCCTAAGACCTGGGAGGAAGTAAAGCTCACAGCAGGAGGTATCAAAGGAACTTCATTTTAAATGAATCACCTCATTTTTGTTCTCTGATTTCCTTCTACTTTTAGTGAGGTGAGTGCCCTCCTTCATTCCCAGTGTTAACTTTTAGTGGACATAGCAGATCCAGCTGCTTGCCAGCTCTGCGTACTGCATTTAGATTGCCGTATTTACTGCCATTGTCTAAAAATACTGAAGTGGCTTTAAAATAAGTTTCAGGGTTACTGGGTGATTGCTTTTTCTTTTTTGAGATGGTCTCACTATGTAGTCTAGGCTGGTCTTAAACTTGCTTATGTAACCCAGGCTGGTCTCAAATTCACAATGATCCTCTTGCCTCAGCCTTCCAAGTGCTGGGATTACAGGCGTGTGCCGCCACACCTAGGTTACTGGGTGATTGCTTAATTAATCTATTTTGTATTCAGCCTGTGTTAGCCTTTTTCTCAGACTGAAGCCCCTGGTTCTCAGTGATAACGAGGATACTAGAATTAGAATACCCCACAGTTGCTTATTGGTTTTATCCTACATAATGGGCAAAATATTCTAAGAATCATAGTGTCACCATGACTGTGTGACTCTTGAAAACAGTTTATGCCCTCCCTGTTTTTGTTCACTTTTCAGTTTTACTCTATCTATACTTCAAAATACACAGCCATTCTACGCTATACTCTTCATTTTTTAAATCTTCTCGTTAATCGTGTGTGACAGAAAGAGTCCATGTGAATGACAGAAAGCATCTCTGGTCAATTTGGTTGTTTTAACTTTTTCTTCTGTTGGTTCGTAAGTAAATGCTTATGGGAACAATATTGCTTGAGTGTATGTTGATGATACTTCATAGTCTTTTTTTAATGTAACATTTAAGACCATTCACATTCCATAAAATCCATCCATTTACGGTTTACAATTGGGTAAAGAGGAAATCCCACACCCATTAGCAGTCACTGCCTATTTTCTTCCAATATTTTCTAATTTTCTTGATTAGTTCTATGACGCAGGCATACTTGCTTTCATTTCCATAGGTTTTTATGTTGAAAATGGTATCCTAAAGAACAAAGAATAATTATTAAATTTCATTTACAACCATTATCTAGATTTGCCAGTTGCTAGTGTTTTACCATACTTGCTACATTTATGTATATATCTAAATGTTTTAAACCTTTTGTGCTGAATCCTGTGGTGATCAGTCACTGATGTTGTGACACTTAGATACCTAAATATTTTGGTGTGCATTTCCTTGTGACTGCTAAAATCATTTATGGCTGTTAACATCACTCATGTGAGACAGCCAGAGAGCGAGCCGGCCCATTGAAGCAAACTCCTATTTCAGGAGTATCATCTAAAGTAAAATTTTATTTAAATTCATTCATAGAATTCATCCCCCTAACCCCAATACTGGGAATTGAAGCTAGGACTTGGCACATGCTGGACCCTGAGTTACATCCCTACTGCTTTTTAATGTGTTTAAATTTTGAGACACAGGGTGTTGCCTGAACTGTTCTGGCTGACTTCAAACTAGCAATCTTTTTGCTTTAGCCTCCCAGGTAGCTGGGATTATAGTTGTGTGCTACATGCCTGGCAGTTTTCACAGTTGGTTTGATGTTTTTTTGGGGGGGTGAGGGCTTAAATGTCCAATCAAAGTTTATAAATTAAGTTCTTAGGTTTCTTTAGCGTTTTTCATCTAAAAGATTGCTTTGCCTTTTTTTTCCTTCTTTTTAAAAAAGGTACAAGTCTAGACCAGTTTGCTTAAAGCCTAGCTGCCTGGCAAACATTCTGAGTTTCTGTGATTTACCTTTTTTTACCCCTTCATGCTTTGGCTCAGTTAACGCCACAAGGGATAATATAATTTCCAGGAATGTTATGTGAAGAAGCTCCTAATATGTCTACATAGATTATTATAATTTTGTTCTACCATGTATGGTTTTCCATTTCCAAACAAGTGTATAATCTATGATACTGACTTTTGGCATGAATTTATTATGATCAGAGAATATGTTACAGGTTGAGCATCTTTCATCTAATTATCTGAATCTGAAATGCTCCAAAGTCAGAAATTTTTGAGTCACAACTATGACATCACAAATAGAAAATTCCACACCTGACCTTAGATCACAATAAAAACCACATGTGCAGTAAAAGTGCTGCATAAAATGCCAACTTTGTAAGGTATGTATAAAATATATATACAATATACATATAAATGGATTTTGTACTTAAACTGGGACTCTATTTCTAAGATCTCTCTCTTTACATATATATATGATAAAAATTTCCCATTTAGTTTGTGGCTGTGTATTTCCCAATGTTGTTCATTTGCTTCCTATTTTGAAGCCATTTTAGTATGGGCATGTTATCTTTAATACTCCTTTATTATTATGGCAATTATGTGGATGCTTTATAGTAGATTAGCAGACATGCACAAGTTAAAAATTTAACCATCACACTCACTTCCCTTAGTAATCCTACTTTGCGACTTTTCTTCCATACCCTTATCCACTCAAATGGACACATACATACAAGGTAGGGTTTTTTGTTTTGTTTTGTTTTTTTGTTTTTTTTCCGGTACCAGAAATCGAACTCACGACCTCGCGCTTGCCAGGCAGGCACTGTGCCGCTGAGCTAAATCCCCAGCCCCTTTTTTTTTTCCTTGTTGAGCAAATGAGATCATAAACCAGGCATAGTGTTGCATACCTGTAATTCCAGCTACTTGGGAGGCATAGGCAGGAGGATTGCAAGGTCAAGGCCATCCTGGGCAACTTAGGCAGATCCTGTCTCAAAATAAAAAAGACTAGGGATGGAGCTTAGTGGTAGAGCACTTGCCCAGCATGCACAGGGCAGTTGGTGTTTAGTCTGTGGTATAGCAACAAGAGCAACAACAACAAACTCCCGAAAAGCTGCATTAGAATTGCTATTTTATAACTTGCCTTTTTCAGTCAGTGATTATCAGCTGCTACTATACATTCCCTTTATGTGGCAGTTGTTTTACACTGGTGCATTAGTAGCATTACATCTGTATATATTAAGGACCCAATCACACCATCCTATAACTTTTGCCTTCAACTCATACATGTTCCGTGGAACTCAAGAAGAACAGATGGTCTATTGTATTTATCTCAAATATATACCATTTCTTTTGCTCTTCTTTTATTTCTAGCATTTCACTTTTTTTTGTTTCTGGTATCATTTCCTTTTTCTCCCAAGAACTTCATTTAGCAAGTATTTTAGCAATCTGTTGATAGCAAAGTTTTTGTTCTCAGTCATCTAAATTTTTTTTCACCTTCATTTCAGATCAGTATTTTTAAAGGATATATAATTTTGAGTTGAAAATTTTTTTAGCACTTTAAAATGTGCCATTTTCCTTCTCTGCCCTCATAGTCTCTGATGAGAATCCTACAGCTGTTGAATCATTATTTCCCTATATTGGTAATTAATTGGTTTCTTTTGACACTTTGAAGTATTTTATTTGCCTTTAGTTTTTAGAACTTTTTGAAGGTAAGGAATGAGACTCTGGAATAGAAATAAAGGATAGATACAGGATGTGCTTAGCAAGGGTCCAGCAGGCATAACTGTTCTGTAAACACTGAGACTTCAGAGGTAAGTAGGATATTTTCTACAAAGACCGGGGTCACGGGATTGCTGGGCATTGATTGATACAGTGTGAGCAAAGGAAGAAGACACAGCAACAGTTACATCGTGTTTTAGGTCCTAAAGGGAGGTGGTGTGATACAGAGAATTGTAGCCTGATGTCCTGTTATGCCTGGTAATGTTTTTTGGATTTTAAGACTAAAGATAAAGCATTAAAAAGTTTTTAGTATAATCAGTAAACTTTAACCTGCATCAGAATCATCTTTTAGTAATGTCAAGTATATAGCTTCTCGGAATTTACATCTAAAAATTCTGATTCTGTGTGTCTGAGTTGCCTGAATGCCAGTATTTGTAACAAACTTACCAAATGATTTTGATTCACATCTCAGTTTCATAAAGCTAATCTATTTCCCTATTATGAACATTACTGTCTTACACAGATGTTCTTCTTTCTCCATGTTTTCTTTGTTCTTTTAATTCCTTAAAGTATAGAGGGCTAGTTAGGTTATTCATGTAATGGATTTTGTTTGTGTATGTGTTACAGGAAAATAAAATGTTTGCTTTTTTTCCTTTCAGATTTGGAGTCAGATTATGGAGCTGAGAAAATACCTCCAGAAAATATTTATGAAATAAATTTATCCAAACAGAATATAAAGCAAATAAGTAACATTCCTGGCCTTAGGTCTGGCAGTTTTAGAAATGACTCAAAACACAGTTTTGAGAGACTGAATGGATGTCAAGAAGAATATATCAATCAAAAGATACTCAGCTGTGAGAAAGAAAAGCCTACTTATACCAACTATATTCTTACTCACAGTACAGATAAACTATATAAATGTAAGAAATGTAGGAAATCCTTTAGTTGTCACTCAAATCTTATTCAACATCAGAGTGTTCATACTGGAAAGAAACCCTATGAATGTAAGGAATGTGGGAAGGCCTTTAGGCTTCATATACAACTTGCCCAACATCAGAAATTTCATACTGGTGAGAAATCTTTTGAATGCAAGGAATGTGGAAAGACCTTCTTCAGTTGTGCCTCAGACCTTGTTCAACATCAGAATACTCATGATGGTATGAAACCATATGAATGTAAGAAATGTGGGAAAATATTTAATCATAGTTCAAACCTCAGTCAGCATCAGAAGACTCATAGTCCTGAGAAACCCTTCGTATGTAAAGAATGTGGGAAGGCATTTAGATTTCCTTACCGACTTATTGAACACCACAGAAGTCATACTGGTGAGAAACCCTTTGAATGTAAGGAATGTGGGAAGGCTTTCAGACTTCATCTACAACTTTTTCGACATCAGAAAACTCACACTGGTGAGAAATCCTTTGTATGTAAGGAATGTGGGAAGGAATTTAGATATCGTTACCTACTTATTGAACATCATAGAATTCATACTGGTGAGAAGCCCTATAAGTGTAGAGAGTGTGGGAAAGGCTTTAATCGTGGTTCAAACCTCAGCCAGCATCAGAAGATTCATTCCAGTGAGAAGCCCTTTATATGTAAGGAGTGTGGGCAGGGCTTTAAATATCATCATCAATACGTGGAGCATCACAGAGTTCATACTGGTGAGAAGACACATAAATGTAAGGAATGTGGGAAGGTCTTTATTCTTCTGACACAGTTTGTTCAACATCAAAACATTCATACTGGTAAGAAGCCATTTGAATGTAAGGAATGTGGAAAAACCTTCAGTTGTGGCTCAAATCTTGCTCAGCATCAGAATATTCATGCTGGTATGAAACCATATGAATGTAAGGAATGCGGGAAAAGTTTTAATCGTAGTTCAAACCTCAGTCAGCATCAGAAGACTCATACTGGTGAGAAACCCTTTGTGTGTAAGGAATGTGGAAGGGCATTTAGGTATCATTACCGTCTTATTGAACATCACAGAAGTCATACTGGTGAGAAACCTCTTGAATGTAAGGAATGTGGGAAGGCTTTTAGAGTTCACCTGCAACTTTCTCGACATCAGAAAACACATACTGGTGAGAAATCCTTTGTATGTAAGGAATGTGGGAAGGAATTTAAATATCATTACCGACTTATTGAACATCACAGAAGTCATACTGGTGAGAAACCCTTTGAATGTAAAGAATGTGGGAAGACTTTTAGACTTCATCTACAACTTTCTAGACATCAGAAAACTCATACTGATGAGAAATCCTTTGTTTGTGAGGAATGTGGGAAAGCATTTAGATACCATTACCGACTTACTGAGCATCACAGAAGTCATACTGGTGAGAAACCATTTGAATGTAAAGAATGTGGGAAGGCTTTTAGACTTCACCTACAACTTTCTCGACATCAGAAAACACATACTGGTGAAAAAGCCTTTGTATGTAAGGAATGTGGGAAGGCGTTTAGATACCATCACCGACTTATTGAACATCATAGAATTCATACTGGTGAGAAGCCCTATAAATGTAGGGTATGTGGGAAGGGCTTTAATCGTGCTTCAAACCTCAGTCAGCATCACAAAATTCATTCTGGTGAGAAACCCTTTATATGTGAGGAATGTGGGCAGGGCTTTAAATATCATCACCAATATGTGGAACATCACAGAATTCATACTGGTGAAAAACCCTATGAATGTAAGGAATGTGGAAAGACTTTCAGACTTCACTTACAACTTTCTCGACATCGGAAAATTCATACTGGTGAGAATTCTTTTGAATATAAGGAATGTGAGACTCCTTCAGACGTCACTACTAACGTACTGAACATCAGGGAATTTATACTCATATGAAATCCTATGAATGTGAAGGGAAATGCTTTTGACAGAGTTTAGATCTTACTCAACATCAGAATATTTATAATAGAGGCTCTTTGAATATAAGGAGTGTGAGAAGGCTTTTAGTCTTTCCATGTAGCTTAATCATCATAACCCTCATCCAGGTGAGAAACTGAAAGAATACAGAAAGCCCTTTAATGTGTCAAACCTTGTTGAACATCAAAGTATTCATGCTAGTATGAAACCATATGAGTGGAAATGTGGGAAAGGGTTTAATTGAGGTTCAAACCTCAGCATCAGAAAATTGATTCTGCTTAAAAACCTTTTGTAAGGAATGTAGGAAAGCTTTTAGATGTCACGGTTAGTGAACATCACTGAATTCATACTGATGGGAAGCCCTATGAGTGTAAAGGTGTGAGAAATCCTTTAGACAAGTGTTCGTTGCTTATCAATTCACGCAGGTCTGGAACCCTGTGATTAAGAATGTGGGAAAGTCTTCAAATGGTTTGCTTTGTTGACCTCAGAAAATTTATAATGTCACAAGTCCTATGAATATAAAGAGTGTGGAGAAGGCTCTGTATAAAAAATTTACTTACTTGAGAATTTATATTGACTAGGAATTTTGTGTATAAAAGAACATGGGAAGGGGGCTGGGGATTTAGCTCAGCGGCACAGTGCCTGCCTGGCAAGGGCAAGGTCGTGAGTTCGATTGCCAGTACCGGAAAAAAACAAAGAACGTGGGAAGAATTTTCACTGTGGCCTGGGATTTGCTCAATATCAGAGTATTCATGTGGGTGAGAAACTCCTTAAGTACAAGAATGGGGAATTTGTAGTTCAATTTCAAGTCCAGAATAAATACTCTTGAGAGAATCTCTAAGTGTGAGGAATATGGCTGTTGTAGTTTGGGGTTTTGCAAGGGGAACAATATAATACAGGGCACATTTTATTTTTAAAAATTTTTTTTGTCTTTTTGAGACACGGTCTCTCTATGCAGTTCAGGCTGGCCTTCAGCTCAGTTTGTAGCCCAGGCTGGTCTCGAACTCTAAATGATCCTCCTGCCTCAGTCTCCCGAGTGCTGGGATTACAGGAGTGCACCACCACTCCCGGCTTTACAGGACACATTTTATAAGATATATAATAGTCACCCAAAGAATCATACAAAGAGAGTGCAGGAAATCTGCCCATACACTAAAGACCAAAGAATCCAGCTGAGGGCGTGGATCCCATGATAATGTCCTGCATGAGTCCAGCTGAAAACCTAGAGCCTGTAACAGTCCCTCCCACAAGTCCAGCTGGAGGCCTATAAAGCCCATGGCAATGTCACAGGTTGTTTCATGGATCTACTCTGAGAAGGCCTGAAGGTCAGTGGTGGGAGCTAGAAAGTCTGTGCCAGCAGGACAATGGATATGTGCCAGCAGGCCGAGAGATCTGCACTGGAGCCAGGAAGTGATGCTCAAAGTAAGAACGAGAGCTCCCCTGAAAGGTACCGTAGCCATCCTCATCAACAATGAGATCCCGAACTCCTTTGGTGATAAGAAAAGCAGACTTCCTATCAGGAAAGCCGACACGAGAGGCTTTTCCAGGAGACTGAGCAGTGCACCATCTTCCCCTCCAGAGCCAGGAAGTAATCCTCAAAGTGAAGAACAGAGCTTCCCCAAAGTGAACTGTGGCTATTCTCAGCAACAAGGTCCTGAGCTCCTTTGATGATGATAACAGCCGAGTTACCAGGAAAGCCAGAATGGCAAGCTCCTCCAGGAAGACCAACAGCATCTAACAGCACTCAACAGCTTCTACCAGCTCCCAATAGCCTCTCTTCTCCAGTTCTGCCTCTTACACTGCGGGCAACAACCTTCAGGTGGGCCTCCCACACCCAGCTCTGCACTCGTTCAGTTCAGATGGGTGTTACAAGTTGACCATCAGTTTTAAATCCACCACAGTAGCCAATATAATCCTCATGTTTATAGCTTATTCCCCATGAGATAATAGATACAGTAATTCCATAATCTTAGGAAAGCCTTCCAAATACTAATCAATCCATTATACTCAAACTACAGAAAAATTATTGGAAGGAATATTTAAAAAGCTTTACCTGAGGCATATTAGTTTTTAACATTACCATCCTACTACATGTGACATTTAAGCTAGAGGCTTATTTTCTTTTTGAATTACTTGTAAAATAGTAATATCTGGTAGTGCAATTATGGGGATATATATGGCGCATATGAATTTCTCTTTTAGTCAGTGCCTATTGTATGAAACTGGGTTTCATTATGACTTTCATACATGCATGTAACATGCTTTGATTGTATCTACCTCCATATTACCCTTTTTAATTGCTCTCTCCCTTGTTCGTCCATTCCCTAATAGTCCCTTGAGAGAAAATATATCCATTGAGTTTGATTTATTTTGCCTATCACAATGATTTCTAGTTCCATCCAGTTTTCTGCAAATGACATTTCATTCTTTATAGCTGAATATTGTGTGTGTGTTTCTTTTTATCCATTTAATGCATTGATGGGCACTTAGGCTGATTCAAGAACTTGACTATGGTGAATAACCCCATGATAAACATAGATATCCGGTATCTCTTTTGGATGTTGACTCATTTGGGTATATATTTTTTTCTTTTTGTTTTTTTTTCTGGTACTGGGAATCGAACTCACAACCTTGCGCTTGCCAGGCAGGTGCTGTACTGCTGAGCTAAATCCCCAGCCCCTCACTTGGGTATATAAGCAGGAGTTATATAGCTGCATCATTTAATATTTGTATTTTTACTTCTAAGAAACCTTTATACTGAGCCAGGTGTGGTGGCACACACATGTAATCCCAGTACTTGGGAAGTTGAGGCAAGAGAATCACTGAGTTTGAGGCCAGCCTGGGCTGCAAAGGTCAAGGCCAGGCTGAACTGCATAGTGAAACCCTCTCTCAAAAAGACAAAACCCCCCCCAAAAAACCCTGTGCAGTTTTACGTAGTAATTGTACTAATTTATATTCCCACCACTTGTATAAGAGCCCCACTCCATAGCAATCCTCAGTAGTATGTATATTTTGTCTTCTAGGTGATAGCCATTCGGACTAGGGGAGGTAGAAATTCAGTGTAGTTTCAATTTTCATTTCGCTGAAAATGTTGAGCATTTTAAAATATGTGCACTGGCCATGTGCATTGGCCATTGTGAGATGTGTCTAGCCCATTTGCCCATTGGTTGGTTGGATTACTTGTTTGTTTTTGGTGTTAATCTTTTTGAGTTCTTAAATGTTCTGGATATTCTATCAGAACAGCTGTCGAGGATTTTCTTCCATTCTGTAGGCTACCTTGTTACTCTGTTACTGTCTCTTTTTTGTGTAAAAAGTTGCTAATGTGCATTTCTCAGTTCTTATTTTTATTTTAAAAATTAGCACATATTTGTCATAATGATTACATTCATCATAAGGAATTTGTACCTATACATGATATATTTTAATTTTTCTTTTACTCCCATTCCCTTCCCTTCCCATCAACTTGTCTTCTCCTCCCCATTTATAAAATCTTTGTTTCCATTTTTTTCTTCAGATTTTTTTCCATTTCCCTTTCCTCTCCCCTTTTCTTGTTCCTCTTCCCATTTGAACATATTCTTCTTACTCTCTAATATCTCCATATGCTCCCTATTTACCATTTGGGTTTCTCACACCAGAACAATGTGTGTCTGATTTAGTTCACTTAAAATTATGGTCTCAAGGGGCATCCATTTACCTAAAACTGCCCCGTTTATCTTTTATGGCAGAGTAGTAGTCCATTGTAAACAAATAGCAAATTTTACTTATTGAATCATTTGTTGGTGGGCATATGGGCTGTTTCCAAATTTAGCTGTTATAAATTGTGCGTCTGTAAACATGGGTATGTGTATATCACTGTGGTGATATCTAGAAGGGGAACAGCTGGGTCAAATGGAACCTCTAGTTTTAGTTTTTTGAGGAATCTCTACTGATTTCCATAGTGGTTGTACCAATTTACATTTCCACCAGCAGAATGATGGTTTTTTCTCCACAGCCTCACCAGCATTTGTTACTGACTGATTTCTTGATGGTAGCCATTCTTTCTAGAATGAGATGAAATCTCAGTGGTGTTTTAATTTGGATTTCTTTAATGACCAGTGATACTGAACATTTTTCATATATTTATTTGCTATTTGTATTTCATTTCATAAATGTCTATCCATTTCTACTCTCACTTTTGGGTTGGATCTTTAAATTTGGAGGGGGGGATCTGGTTTTTGAGTTCTGTATATATTCTAGAAGTTAGTCCTTTGAGGACTAACTCTTACCAGTAGCTGGTAAAAATTTTTTCCCATTCTGTGGGTTGTTTCTTCACTCTTTAGGTGGTTTATTTTTTCTTTTTCTTTCTTTCTTTCTTTTTTTTTTTTTTTTTGTCTTTTTGAGACAGGGTCTTGCTATGCAGTTCAGGCTGGCCTTGAGCTCACTTTGTAGCCCAGGCTGGCCTTAAACTCACAAAGATCCTCCTGCCTCAGCCTTCCAAGTGCTGGGATTACAGGTGTGTGCCACCACACCTGGCTAGGTGGTTTCTTTTGCTGTGCAAAAGTTTATTGCGATATGATCAAATTACTGATTCTTTTAATATTTCCTGTGTAAATTTTTTTATAAATTCTTTGCCTACACCTATGTCTTCAAGAGTTACCTATTGTCTTCCAATAGATTGTGTTTCTCTTTTAATATTTAGATCTTTGATCCATTTTGATTTTAGTTTAGTGCATGGTGAGAGATATGGATCTAGGTTTAATTTTTGGCACATGGATAAACTCTGCTGACTCTAGCTGATTGATCTATTGTTGTAAACAATTCCTTGGGGGCATACGTTCTTTAAAAATTTTTTTTTTGAGATGGAGTCTCATATACTCCAGATTGGCGTCAAACTCATGGTGATCCTCCTGCCTCAGTCTTCCAAGTTCTCAGTTTACAAGTGTGTGCCATCATGCGTGGCAGGCGGCATACATTCTTAAGGCATAAAATGATATGAAGAATACCATGCAGTTTGGATTTATAGTCACTCTAACTCATGGTCTTTTGTTCCACTGAGAGCAATTGGTCATCCCAGAGCCCCTTGAAATTGCAGATCTCTGTCTTCTTTCATCCATGTGCCACATTGCCAGGTGAGAGACTTGAACACTCGGGGGGCGGGTTTCTGTACTGTGTCCTCGGATTCTGCCTCATAGTTCCAGTCTGGGCTTTCCCAGGGGACAGCTATAGTGCCTACCCAAAGTGTGACCTGAAGGACAGCCAGAGAGATCACTCATTCCCACTGTTCTGAAGAAAGTGGAGCCAGCAGTCACATTGAAATCAGTCCAGGTTAGGTTATATTACTGAGTTAGGTATTGAAACTCTTGGATATATTGGGCAGGATCTGAGGAGGAGCCCAGAAGCTGGTTAATTTGGGAGAGGTATGTGAAAGACAAACATGAACTCTAACAATTCCCTCTGCTGCCGCCACCTCATGGAGTCGGAACTGGGGTGGGGGCAAGGTTTGGGGGCCAAACTGCAACCTAAATCAGGTATGGAGTGGTGTGGGGTCGGGTGTATTATGTGGAGGATAGGGTTCAAGAGGGAGTACCGGAT